CAAATGGGGACCCACCAGCAGGCCGACGTTTTCAGAACCCGACACTCCCACTCTGTGCTTGCACCGGGACTGAGGCAGGGGAGGCCCCGAGCTAGAGAGGCTTCCGTGAGATGTCACAAAATCCTGTGACTTCAAACAGCCATGTTGTTTAATCCTGAAGAAATGCCACCCTCCACTGCTGTCCAGTTCCATTGCTCCTGTTAGAGATTTGCTTTTGGACAACAAAGCCGCTCCTTTGTGTATTTTCTGTTAATCTTCTGGGAATCACGGGACTGCCATTTTTACCTTTGTCAGGGACAACTGGGTGTCAGAACAACTGACCCACTCAGCTGTTGCTGATTGTGTTTACCACTAGGGTGAAGAGCGCCATCAAAGCTATTCAGGACTTTCCTGTCACTGAAGGAAGGGAATCGCCCCCATCAGAGGGGGTGTTTGTGGGAAGCCCCGGCCTCGGCCTCACCCCAGCTGCCCTCAGCCATGAGAAGCCCTGATTGTGCGGCTCTGAGGCCATGGGCACCCGCAGCCCCCTTGGGCTCTGACAGGGAGGAGATGTGGGTTCCGTCCTGCCGGGAGCATCTTTCCGTTCCCCCCAGGAACTAGGGAGAAGGTGAAGGTTCAATGTCTGAGAGGCGGGACATCAGGTTATTTACTATTTCAGGGTGGGTGATGGTGAGAGGTGAACCGGGGGACAAAACACTTTATCAGAGTAACAACGAGTCACTTTCTTTGCTTTTTAGAGTAAATAGTAATTAAATCATGTAAGCATGACAGTGAAATTGCTTCACACCCAGCCTCCCACCATAATTGCTTAGATGCGAACGTCTGTACAAATGCAGGTAACTTTGGCCGTTGTTTCACCAGCCGTAGGCCACGCTGGCTGCTGGTCCTTCATACTTTACCACGCGGTAGGTGACAGCTGGAAAAGCACATATACTTAAAAAGCCTCTAATGTGGTCCACTAATGTGGGGCTCTGGTGGCGTAGTGCCTAAGGCATCGGACTGCTAACCAGAAGGCTGGTGGTTCAAACCC